GGTGTGGGGGGGGGGGGGGGGGGACAAAGGAAGCTGCCAGGTCCGGGACTCAAACTGGTCAACCATGTGGGAGTGTCCAGCACCTTAACCACCATGCCACCTGCTGGTCCCCCTTGTCCCCCTTTCTCTTTTTTTCTTTTTAAAGAATTATTTTATTATTTACCTTTATTTTAATTTGGCCAGAGAGGGACAGAAAGAGAGAGAGAGAAAGCAAGCTGCCAGGTCCAGGACTTGAACCATGGTTGGCCAAGTAGGAGTCCAGCACCCTTAACCACCACGCCATGTGCTGGACTCCCAGGTTTTCTTAATCAAGTGACCCAAAAAGTGATGAGTTAGATCCTTTCAGCCAAAGGTACAGGTGCGGTCTTGGCAATGTGGAGCAAAGATGAGCAGGTCACTGCATCCGCTGGTCCTTCTGCCTTCCTGGCTGGTTAGTGGGCACACAGGAGGATGCCAGGGGCCTCCTGCCTGCTCACACTGCTTCTGTGCGTGTGCATACCTGTTGGTGCACCTGCTGCTTCCCTCCCTGGACTAGAGCTTGTCTGAAGCTGTGGGGTCAGGAGAGACGGGAAGGTGTGAATGACCATTCCCCTCTGTCCTCTTGGTCTGGGCTTTGAACTGGGAGCCCTGGAGGATGTGTGCTCTTTGCTTCTCAGCCTACCACCTCCCTCCCTCACAGCCTGAGCACTGCTGACCTTTGTCCCTACCACAGAGGAAAGGCTTCTTCCCAGGCTTTCAGGGTGAGCCTCGAAGAGAATAGAGATGGTGCTGTTTCTCACAACATAGCCAGAACCCGTGGTCTTCCCTGAGAAAGCTCTGGAATCCTGGCTAGCTCAGGTCCAGTTATAAAACACCTGACCCTTTGCCCAGTCCTCCTTCTCCCAAGTTGCGGAGGGATCTTCAAAGAGGGGGTGGAGAGGACTATAAATACAACTCCTCACAGTGCCAAGACCTTTGCTTCAGCCTCTCTGCAGTGGTTGCATGCCGAGTGCCTTGAGGGTGCTCCCTGTCCTTTGTTCCTGGAACGAGATAGAGCCAAAGGCTGGTCTGCCTATCCCAGATCCACTGCTTTCCCCTCCCCAGTGGGCTGCCAGCACTCAGCCATTGCTAAACTGTCCCCTGTGGAAGTATCAGGGTGCCCCTAACACCTGCTGTTAGCCTCTACAGGTTTATGTAAGCCATGGGCAGAAGGGAGGAGGCGGAGGCGGAGGCTGGTCATCCTCCCAGTATGGTCTGCAGGGGAGGAGTGGAGGTTGGTTAAGCATGAAGGAGTTTGTATGCTCTTCTTGAGCCGCATAAACCCCTGCCCACGACACCCTGTCTCAGTCCAGCTCCTGACTAGCAAGGCAGCTAGCGCTATGTGGAGGCCACAGCCCCTCATCCATCCCTGTGACCAGTGAGGCCTGCTGGTCCCAGGCCTTATCCCTCAGCAGTGCACCTGTCTTAGCTGCGCTAGAAGGGGCCCCTTAGCTGGGATGCAACAGCCTCCACGGAGAAAGAGCCGGAGCACTGTCCCACCTGGCCCCTTCTGGCTGTGGCTTACATAGCTCTGCTGGGGTAGGGGGTGAGGGCAGCCTAGCCAATTCTAGGGTTTAACAGTCCTCATGCAGCCCACGATCTCAGGCTAGTTGCACATTTAGGAAAGAAATCAAGACGAGAGTAATTATTTCATGATGTAAAAAGCTACATGAGGAACCGGCGGGTGGCATAGCAATTACGTCACTGTACTCTCACATGACCAGCCACAGTTTAAGTCCCAGACCTGGTGGTTTCAAAATCATACCAAGTCTGAGTACATGCATGCGCAAGATCCTGGGAGGAGAATGGAGAAGGGATTGTGGAGTGACCATGCCCCTGGAGGGAGGGTGATTTCTCAGTTTTCCCTCACTGCATCTGTCTCTCTCTCTCCCCGGTGTATGTGTGCACATGACCTTAGACACCACCACCACCACCCCCCCAAAAAAATTAAAAAAAACTTTAAAAAAAGCTACATGAGCTTTAAATTTCTGTGCCTATAAATAAGATCTTATTGGCCCACAGCCAGCACTCTTGTCTCAGCATCGTCTGAGGTTGATTTTGCACTTAGACAGTGTTGGACACTTGCTACAGACTGTCTGGTTCCAAAGCCTAAAATATTTACCATCTGGCCCTTTTGCTGACAACTGATCGTTGCTAACATTACTGTTTTTTTTTTTTTCCAAAGAATTATTTAATTTGATTTATCATTATTATTTAATTTGACCAGTGAGTGATAGAGAGAGGGAGAAAGAGAAAGTGAGAAATCAAGCCACCAGGTCAAGGACTCAAACCATACTTGGCTATATGGGAGTCCAGCACTTTTAACTTCCACACCACCTGCCGGCCCCACTACTACTTTATTATTATTATTATTATTTAAGTTTCCTATCAGACATATACGCTCACCCAAGAGAGACAAGGTCAGGGCCGGGGAGAGAAAGCACCTTGCTAGAGGAATGGCCACGCTGCAATCCTTTATCCATTCTTCCCTTGGATTTTGAGCACACATACACATGCCTAGTGTGTTTTTCTTTTTTCTATTTTTGGAGAGCTTTTTGCTATAGGGTGCATGCACTCGCCAGACAGACAGAGAGACAGAAAGCGAGAAATCACCCCCCAGGGGGGATGGCCATGCCAGTCTTTTCTCCTCCATTATCCTCTCAGGATCGTGGGCACGCATGCACATGTGGCCAGCGTGAGCTTAAGCCACTGGGTTTGGGACTTGAACCATGGTCGACTATGTAGGAATCCAACGACATAGCCATTATGCCAACAGCTGGCCCAACCTGGTGTGTTTTTCAAGCTGTCTGGTCCGGGACTTGAACTGCACATTCATTCAGCCGTGTGGGGTCTAGTCACCTTAACTATGATGCCACCTGGCTGACCCAGCTACTACTTTTTTTTCTTTTCTTTTATTATCTTTGCTTTTTAAAAAAACTTTTTTATTTATTAATTTTAATTATCATTTATACATTTAATCGCTATACATCATTTAGATTATAAAGAGACTTTACCCAGCGTGACACACACCTCAGTCCAGCCCAGTTGAGAACATACGTGCATCCTCATCAGCAAATAGTAAACCATATCTGTATCCCACAAATGCCTTACTTCTTCATTTTTTCCCCAAATTTTCTTTCCTATGCTCTTCCCCCTCCAAGCTTTATTTTATTTTATTTTATTTTATTTATTTATTTATTTTGGGGGAGGTTTTATTGCTATATGGCGCATGTGCTCGCCAGAAAGACAGAGAGAGACAAAAAGTGGAAAATCACACCCCAGGGGGATGGCCACGCCACAATCCCCTCTCTTCCATTCACCTCTAGGGATCTTGGGCACGCACGCACACACACACACACACACACACACACACACGCATCACACACACACACACACACACACACACACACACACCGGCATGAGTTTAAACCACTGGGTCCAGGACTCAAACCGCAGTTGCCTACATGGGAGTCCAGCGACAGCCACTACACCAACTGCTGATACTTCATTTATTTATTTTAATTTGACTAGAGAGAGAGAGAGCACAAGCCGCCAGGTCCAAGACTCAAACCATGGTCGGCCATGTGGGAATCCAGCACCCTCAACCACCACATCACCTGCCGGCCCCATCTTTGTTTTAAAAGGCTGTGCCTTTGAGCTTTTTATTGTGGGATTAAGAAGCGTCAGGCACGGTTGAAGGATCTTGATCCCAAAGTGGAAGGCCTTGCTGGTTCTTTGTTCTCGTGACCATATTTATGTTGCTGGGCACTGAGGATCCAGCAGTGAACGAGACAGAGCTGGAGGCTCATGGGGATATTGAGAACAGTGGCAAGGGTGGGTTCAGGACACGGGGGGTTTGCATGAAATCTGGCTAGCCACAGAAAGCTTTCCTAAAAAGGCGGCTCAAGTCTGGACCAGAAAGATGAATAGGGGATTGGGCAGGCAAGAGGGAGCCTGACTGGGGTGGGAAAGAACGCAATCCCTTTGACGTTGGAAGGAAGCAATTGTGGTTGCTGCAAGTAGGGGGGACAGCCCTCTGGGTGCTGGGCCTGCTCACCAGAGGCTTCAGGCACCCAAGGCCATGATCTTTGGGCTTGGGAGCAAGGCTGGGTTCTAGCCCAAGTCCCAGTCAGATAGGCATGAGCCTGAAATCAGTCCCTGACAGCTGGGGATAGGTCCCACCGTTAAGGGAGTTGTCAAATAGCATTTTAAAAAAAGCAAGGCGGGGACCAGCAGTTGGTGTAATGGCTATGTCACTGGACTCCCATGAGTCTCGGACCTGGTGGCTTAAACTCACGCCGGGCGCATGTGCGTGCATGCCCAAGATCCTGAGAGGAGAATGGAGGAGAAGGGATTGCAGTGTGGCCATTCCTCCTGGGGGGTGATTTCTCGCTTTCTATCTCTCTCTTTCTGGTGAGTGCATTCGCCCTATAGCAAAAACCTCTCCAAAAAAAAAAAAAAAAAACAGGTGAGATGGGATTATGGCTTGGCTATTCCCCCAGGGGTGATTTCTCACTTTCCCTCTCACCACTGTCTTGTCTTTCTCTCTCTGGTGAGCATAGTGCTCTAAGGCAAAAACCTCTTTAAAAAGAAAAAAAAAAAAAAAAAAAAAGCCAGGCCATTGGAGGAGAGAGAGGGGCCATGAGAACTCTGTCCTCTAGCTCTTCCCGACTGAGGCTGCTTCCTCCTCCTCTGACCAGCTGTCCTCTGCTCGTTCTCTCCTCAGGGATGACTCTGCCGAGGTGGACGTGTATAACCCAGCGAAGAATGAATGGGACAAGATCCCATCTATGAACCAGGTAACTGCACAGCTATGCCAGGGTTGGAAGCGCAGGGTAACTGGACTGTCACCATGATGAGTGTTAGGGAGCTGGCTGTGGGGAGAGGGCCTGTGTTGACCCCTCTTTGGATATTATCTCCATGATCAGGAAACAAGTCTTATCTTCATTTTGCACATGAGGCTTACCCAGACCCAGAGATCCCAGGATCACCCAGCTTAGAGAGCTCACCTATTCAGTCAGTATTTATTTATAAAGAATTTTTTTCATTTAACTTTATTTACTTATTAATTTTATTTTGACCAGAAAGGGACAGAGAGAGAGAGAGGGGGGAAAATGAGAAAGCAAACCGCTAGGTCCAGGATTTGAACCATGGTCGGCCATGTGAGAGTACAGCACCCTTAATCACCATGCCACTTGCAGGCTCCTCAGTCAGTATTTATTAAGCACTGCCTGTGACCAGAGAGCAGAAGAAAGTGCTCTGCAGAGAGACAGCAAGTGCAAAGAGCCTGGGGCAGGGTCCCGCTGTTTGTGGGAGTGCTAGCTGCTCAGTGTGCCTGGAGCAGAGGATGGAACAGAGCTGTAGTACCTATCCTAGTAGAACATTACAGAGATCATTTCTTTTTTTCTTTTAAAGAATTATTAATTTAATTTTATTTATTATTATTTTAAATTTGACCAGAGAGAGAGAATGTGAGAAAGCAAGCTGCTAGGTTCAGGACTCAAACCGTGGTCAGCCATGGTAAAGTCTGGTGCCTTACCCACCATGCCACCTGCTGGCCTCTACAGAGATCGTTTCAAGGAAGTACCATGCCCAGCATGTGTGTGAGAGACATGGTGCTGTGGCTACCCTGGCCACCAAAGGGAAGGTCTCCCACTGGATCCAGGCAGCATGTGTGACCCCAGGATAGCTCCCAGGTTTCTTATGGGTCATAGGAAGGCCTTGGGCCTGTCCTGGCCCGGTCATTTGCTGGGAAGTCTGCTGAGGACAGCTCCCTGTCATACTGGGAAGTGCCAAGGGACCCCATAGAGGCTGACAGGCGAGCCTTGTCTCCATGAGTCTTTAGGTATCTTCTCAGCAGAGAGGGGAGGCAGGGGCTCAGCTTCCACTCACCTGTCCCCCTTGGCCCACAGGTACACGTAGGGGGCAGCCTCGCCGTCCTGGGAGGGAAGCTGTATGTCTCTGGGGGCTACGACAACACATTTGAACTCTCAGATGTGGTAGAAGCGTATGATCCAGAGACTCGGGCATGGAGTGTGGTGGGACGACTCCCAGAGCCCACCTTCTGGCATGGCAGCGTCAGCATCTTCCGCCAGTTCATGCCCCAGACACCCTTGGGAGGGCGTGGCTTCGAACTGGACAGTGGCAGCAATGATGTGGACGCAGGCCAACACCGGCCACCGCAGAACCGTGACGAGCTGCACTAGCCCTGGCCTGGCCCCAGGAGGGCCTCGGTGCAGGTACCTTGGCACCCCATGGGGCAGCGGCCCCTCCTTCACCAGAAGGAAGGGTGGGTCTCACTGGGTGGCTGAGTGAGCTCCCGGATCCATCACCCGGAATGTTTCCATGCATTTAGTGTGAGTCCAGCTGCTGGAGTCAAAGCTGGTTGTGAACATGCCTCTGCGGGTCGAAGAAGAGCCACTGCCTTGCCGGCACATGTGTCTGGCTGCCCGAGATCACTCCCAGCCTGCAGATCCCCGGCTCACACGTGCAGCACACACCCTTCCTGCTGTTGCCACACGCAACGACTAGTTCCCACTTTGGGAGGAGAGCCACTGGAGCGGAGGGGTCCTCCCATGAGGGTCAGAGAATGGCTTTGAGCATCGAGGACCAAGTAGTCATCGGCTACAGTCTCCACATCCAGTACTCCTTACCCACCTCCCAGGGTGGGCCTCCCAGACGCTGACCATAAGCTGCAGAACTGAGCCGGAGTGTGCGCTAGACTGGGGTCCAGAGGGCCTCCTGAGTTTTCTGTTTGCAAAGGATGTGGCCCTGCCCGTCTGAGTTTCCCTGGTCCCTCTACTCAGCATGGAAGCCTCACCTGGGCCTTTATCCCAGGCCAAGGAAGGAAAGGGTGAATGCCTGCCGTGCAGGGTCATAGCTTCTTCCTGGAAAGTGAGACCTCGGGAGTCTGACACTGACACCCAGCCAGGACAGCTGCAGGTGCCTAAGCCTTCGCCTCCAAGGGAAGGATCTTATTGCTTCTAAAGGAAACTCTGAGCACTGGTGGTCTCGGTGGTTGGGTCTAGGATTTAAAATGCTTGTAGTTTGTCCCTTAAGAGAAGGGGGATGGGGTCAGCAGATGACATGGTGATTAAGGTGCTGGATCCCACATAGTCAGCTATGCGGTTCAAGTCCTAGACCTGGTGACTTGGAAATCATACTGGGTGTGTGTGCGTGCGTGCCCAAACTCCCCAGAGGAAAATAGAGAAGGGATTGCTGCGTGGCCCTCTCCCCGGGGGTGATTTCTCACTTTTCCCTCTCTCTCT